GCCCAGGCGGCCTGGTCAGGGCCAGCTGTGTGGGGACCCTGTTTGGACGCAGTGCCCAGGCGGCCTGGTCAGGGTCAGCTGTGTGGGGACCCTGTTTGGACGCAGCGCCCATGCGGCCTGGTCAGGGCCAGCTGTGTGGGGACCCTGTTTGGACGCAGCATCCAGGAGGCCTGGTCAGGGCCAGCTGTGTGGGGACCCTGTTAGGACGCAGGGCTAACTGCCCACAGCTGGACGGCGGGGGATGTGGGAGGACCTGCGAAGACAGGGAGGGTCCTGGGGCAGGTGTGCGTCCTGGTTCCCTAGGACAGTAGGGCTGGCAAGGCAAAGAGTGGGCCGTGCAGGGCCCGCATGACAGCGCTGCGGGCGGTGGGGGGTGTCCTCTGCCTGGGTCTGCCCTAATCCTTGGCCAGGGGCATGGGCTGGGGAGGTCTGCGCTGTCTATTCCTCCCCCACCATCGGGCTGCGGTGGGGCTCCTTAGAAGGGTCAGGGTTGGCACTTGTGAGGTGAATGCTCGAGGCTGCGCTCGGCCGGGTGGGGTCTGGCAGGGTAGCCATGTGAGGTGGGTGTGAGGACGGCTTGGTCCCCAGAGAAGGCCCTCCCCTGCCCCACTGGCCTCCTTACCCCTCTGCCCTGTTCTCCCTGCCCCTGCAGCTCTGCGCTGCCTTCCGCTCTGTCTGTGGGGGCCTCCCTGATGCCTCTGTGCCGTTTTCCCGATGCCCACTCTCTCGGAGGAGTGGTAACTCTCACTTCTGTGTGTCCAGGCTGACGGGCAGCGAGCCGCTGACCATCCTCCCACTGACCCTGGAGCCTGAGTCCGCGGCCGCCAAGGCGCACTACAAGGCCTGTGACCGACTGAAGCTGGAGCGGAAGCAGAGACGCATGTGCCGCCGGGACCCGGGGGTGGCCGAGACGCTGGTGGAGGCCATCAGCATGAGCGCCCTCGAATGCCAGTACCAGTTCCGTTTCGAGAGGTGGAACTGCACCCTGGAGGGCCGCTACCGGGCCAGCCTGCTCAAGCGTGGTGAGTACCACTGGGCCTCTGCCCCCGACCCCGCCACAGAGCCTCAGCAGAGCCCTGTGTCAAGGCCCCTGCTGCTGGGGCCTGTGTGGTGGGCAGGGGGCTTTGTCCAGTGTCCCCCAGCCTTGGGGGAATGGCAGGGGAAGAGGTGGGAGGGCTGTGGGCCGGGCCAGCCTCCGGACCTCTGTGTGCCGTTCTGGGGCCTCTGCCTGGCTCTGGTGAGTGTGGCCGCGTGGTGTTCCAGGAGGGACCAGGCAGGCCGTGCGTGACGGGTCTCGGACCTCGCAGGGTGGCCCAGTGCTTCCTCTGTATGGGACTCATGGTGGTGGGGGTGTGGGGACGAACCCAGCCCCTGGGGTCAGCAGTCCCACTGTCCCGAGGGCAGCAGGGTAACCCAGCAGGCACTAGGAAGGTGGGAGGGACTGCCTCAGGTGCTGGAAAAGGAGCAGGCTTCTCCCAGAGCCCAGAGCTGTGCGTTTGCGGTTGGAGAGCACAGCCCCGAGGTTGCTGGGGCAGAACCACTGTCTCGCACCTGGGCCTGGGCGGCAGGCGGATGGGGAGCAAGTGTCCCAGTGCCTGGAGGCCCGGCCCCTTCAGTCCCCCTCTTCCTTCCCACCTGCCCCTCCCTCACACTGGTAGAACAGTTGCTGGGGAGACAGGGCCCACTTGTGCAGCCCTCTGATGGAGGCAGGGTCTGAGGCTGCCAGGGGCGGGTTCTGACGGCTCCCGACACGTGCTGGGCAGCCTGGAGCCCACCGCCTGGGCACGCGGCGGGCGCTGCAGCTGGGGCCTCCTGGCCCTGGAGCACAGAGCCCCGTCTCCTCCCTCCCTCCCTCTGCACAGGGACGCGCAGCCTGGGGCTCGGGTTCCCACCTGAGCCTCGCTGGCAACAGACTTGTTTAAAAGCTAGGAGCTGAGGCTGGAGCCGGGAGCTCTGGCTGAGGGCGGTGCAGTGAGAAGTGACTGTGGGCCTTGCATAGGGAGGTGATTGGAGAGCTGATAGGGGGTCTCTGGGTCAGGACTGCAGCCTCAGCGGGGTGCTGCCTATAGCCGTGCCCACCTGCATTCAGGGTACACAGCAGTGCGGGAAGGGCATAGCCCCCAACACCCGTTAGAGCTGACCACCAGCAGGAAAGATACTCCCCTCCCTCTCTTCCTCCCGTCCCCTGCTGGAAGGGTCCGTATTCTGGTGCTCCTATCTGGAATTTGTGCTTTGAGTGACGATCGTGTGTGGGCCTGGCTGTGGGCCTGTGTCTCAGATGGCCTCTCTGAGGACCCTGTGTGGGTGGGTCTGCAGGACAGCCTGACTGCCAAGGCCTCCTGCTGACCTGTGCTGTGTCTCCCCAAGGCTTCAAGGAGACGGCCTTCCTGTACGCCATCTCCTCGGCTGGGCTGACGCACGCCCTGGCCAAGGCCTGCAGTGCGGGCCGCATGGAGCGCTGTACCTGTGACGAGGCACCCGACCTGGAGAACCGTGAGGCCTGGCAGTGGGGCGGCTGCGGGGACAACCTCAAGTACAGCAGCAAGTTCGTCAAGGAATTCCTGGGCCGCAGGTCGAGCAAGGACCTGCGGGCCCGCGTGGACTTCCACAACAACCTTGTGGGCGTGAAGGCAAGTAGGGACCCCGCGCTGGTGGCAGGGTCGTCTGTGGGTGATGGGTGGGGAGGCGGGGGACAGCTGCTTCCAGGTCCAGTCTGTGGTTGTAGGCAGGCACCCTCAGAATCCTTGTCCCCAGGAGACTACGTTTCCCACCAGATATGGAGACATGAATGCCACAGGGAGGTGACTGTGGGCCTCACAGAGGTGACCGTGGGCCTCACAGAGGGAGGTGACCGTGGGCCTCACACAGGGAGGTGACCGTGAGCCTCACAGAGGGAGGTAACCATGGGCCTCACAGAGGGAGGTGACCGTGGGCCTCACAGAGGGAGGTGACCGTGGGCCTCACAGAGGTGACCGTGAGCCTCACACAGGGAGGTGACCGTGGGCCTCACAGAGGGAGGTGACCGTGGGCCTCACAGAGGTGACCGTGGGCCTCACAGAGGTGACCGTGGGCCTCACAGAGGGAGGTGACCGTGGGCCTCACACAGGGAGGTGACCGTGGGCCTCACACAGGGAGGTGACCGTGGGCCTCACACAGGGAGGCGGCCATTGGCCTGACAGAGAGAGGTGACCGTGGGCCTCACAGAGGGAGGCGGCCATTGGCCTGACAGAGAGAGGTGACCGTGGGCCTCACATAGGGAGGC